ATAAATAACCATTTTTAAAAAATTAAATATAGCCCATAGAATTTATGTTATTTGGTGTTATCAATGCTATTACATGAAATAAATTGAAGATAAAATTGATATAATCCAACTTCTGTTATTCTTCCTCATATGATTATTTAAATTTATGTAAACATCGGGGCACCTGGGTGGCTCAGTCAGTTAAGCGTCCAACTTTGGCTCAGGACAAGGTCTTGTGGTCTGTGAGTTTGAGCCCCGCGTTGGGCTCTGTGCTGACAGCTCAGAGCCTGGAGCCTGCTTCGGATTCTGTGTTTCCCTCTCTCTCTGTCCCTCCCCCACTCACAGTCTGTCCCTCTCTGTCTCTCAGAAATGAATAAACGTTAAAAAAATTTTTTTTAATTTATGTAAACATCAAGGGCTCATAAAGAATACAATATTCTTCCTAAGCTAATGTAGCCAACATGTTCCCTAAATGATGGTATTAACGTCAATCAACTTCCGTACTAAATTGGACTATTGCCAATGTCTTACTTCTATACATAACAGTAAGGATTTTCTTTTTTTTTTTTAATTTTTTTTTCAATGTTTATTTATTTTTTTGGGGACAGAGAGAGACAGAGCATGAACGGGGGAGGGTCAGAGAGAGAGGGAGACACAGAATCGGAAACAGGCTCCAGGCTCCGAGCCATCAGCCCAGAGCCTGACGCGGGGCTCGAACTCACGGACCGCGAGATCGTGACCTGGCTGAAGTCAGACGCTTAACCGACTGCGCCACCCAGGCGCCCCATCAGTAAGGATTTTCAATCATTCATTTTTGCATGCTTTACTGATAAAATTAAATATATATTTATACCTCAACAGACATACAATCTGAACATATGGAGCCAAAAGATCTTTTACTCCCAGTTGTATCTCAAATTTCTTACCAGGACTTAAAAGTGCATAGTCAGATATTAAAAATACAACCAGGGGTGCATGGGTGGCTCAGTTGGTTAAGCGTCTGACTTGATTTTGGCTCAGGTCATGGTTTCTGGGTTCATGGGACTGAGCCCCACATCAGGCTCTGTGCTGACAGCATGGAGCCTGCTTGGGATATTTCTCTCTCTCTCTCTCAAAAACAAATGCACTTAAAAAAATACAACCAGCTAAAAATTGTCTTTGTGCAGCTATGCTGTTCAGATCTGAAGCTAATCTGCATGATCACACCCAGGTTTCAGGATGGGAGGAAGGACTTTGAAGCGGACTTTTGGCTCTTCAGCCTTCTAGAGATTTCAAGCTTAGCCAAATACCGAGGCCAAAGCCAAACTTCAGTGTATACATCTGCCAATCTTCTCCTCATTTCTCTGTTCCTTCCTTGCTCTTTCCTCTGTATCTTCCTCTTCTTTCTTGTTATTATTCTTACTTCTCTCTCCCTTTTTCTTTCTCTAACTTCTTTGTCTTCCTTTGTCCTCTTTGTTCTTTCTTTTGCCTTCTCCTCTAGCAGGAATGATCAGAGGTGGGAATATTCGCTTTGAAGGACTCTTGGGTCTTCTGGGATGGTGTCCCAGATGCTACCCCAAGTGGTCTTTCAAAAAGTGAGCATATTCCCCCAGATGCAACTATCTAACCAAATTCAACATTACATGAGACCTAACCTCACCATTCATTCTAGTCACTGCTCAAATGCCAATCTGTATAAAAATACAATCCTTTGTCACTCTCTGCCTCCTGTCCTGCGTTTTTCCTTGTGGCATCTGACACAGTCACTTTGTGTTTGTGAGTGGTCTGTCCCCTCACTAGAAGCCAGCTCTGTGAGGGCAGAAACATTTTGTCCATGGCTGTTCCCCCAGTGCTTAGAACAGTATCTGGCACCTAGAAAGCAGCCAATAAATATTAGCTATTCTCTT